AGACTTAAGGCAGTCATTGCCTGCAAAGGATTCTCAACAAATTATTCAAATTAAACATTTTATTTATTATTATATTTATTTGTCCAATTACATTTGAGCCTCCGAAAATGGGGGTACTGTGTATAAAAATGGTTGTAATTCCTAGTGTTTTATGTTATATTTTTGTTCAACCCCTTGAATTAAAGCTTAAAGTCTGCACTTCAATTTCATATTGTTTCATTTTATTTCTGGTGGCATACAGAGGTGTGTGTGTGTGTGTGTGTAGTTTCATGCTTCAGATTTTAAAAAAAATATTTTTATGTATTCCTGTACTCAACATGACTCATTATAAGAAAAAGTATAAATCTGAAAAATGTGCATATACTGTATATGTATATTAGTGCTGTCAAACGATTAATCGTGATAAATCGCATCCAAAATAAAAGTTTTTGTTTACATAATGTGGCATACAGATCCAAAATTATGAAAATTTGTTCCGTGTCCAAATGTATATGGACCTAACTGTGTGTGTGTGTGTTTGTGTGCAGTTTCATGCTTCAGATTTAAAAAAAATATTTTTATGTATTCCCAAGTTTTTGTTTACATAATGTGTGTGTACTTTGTATATTTATTATGTATATATAAATACACACGCATGCATATATTTAAGAAAAATATGGTACGTTTATGTTAAATTATATTTATATATGTTATAAATTATATGAATGTAAATATTTTCAAAATATATACTGTATGTGTGTGTAGTTATATCTACATAATAAATATACACAAACACGCATATATTATGTAAACAAACTTTTATTTTGCATGCAATTAATAGCGATTAATCGGTTGACAGCCCTAAATATATACATAAAGGTGAGTGTGTTTCAAACAAAAAATGTTATATTCAAGAGTTATATTCAAATATATTGTTTTGTTTTTTTTATTTGTTGCTTTCACTTGCATGCTTACTGGTGAGGCATTGCATTTTTTTTTTTTTTTTTTTTATAGAAATGAAAAATGAAGTTAAGGGGCCAAATGGAGGGTTATACTATGCCATAGTGTGAGGAAATTGGATATTAGTAGTTCTCTATGTCCGAACTGATTTGTTTCCATGTCTAATTTGATTGTTTCTCATCCTCAGGTCCTGCTAAAGCAGAAGAGACTGAAGACTCTGACTCAGAAGTGACACAGAAAAAGAAAAAGAGCAAAGGGAAAAAAGGCAAAAAGGTGAATTCATTATTTCACATTATTCTCATTCCGGTATTTGTTTATTATCCTTTTTCTCAAGTAACGATAGTGCACATGTGGTTTTTGGGCGGGAACTATGATTACCATGGTAACAGTTTCTAAGATGACCTCTCTTATTCCTGTGAAGGAGGAGCGAGCACCTTCTCCTCCCATCGAGTTTGACAATCTGGAGGAGTACGTACTTCAGCCTGCACAACAGGGTGTCACGGTAAGGTGCAAAGTGACCCGCGACAAGAGAGGGATGGACCGAGGCCTTTACCCAACATACTACCTGCACCTGGACAACGAGAAGAAAGTACAACATCTATATTTATCTGTATAGGCCTTCATGGTGTGGATTTTTTGAAAGAAGTCTTATATCTGGACCAAGACTGCATTTATTTGATCAAACAGTAAAAACAGTAATATTGTGAAATTTCTGTGTGATTATATGTTCCAATGTAATTTATTCTTGTGATATAAAGCTGAATTTTCAGCATCATTACTCCAGTCTTCAGTGTCACATGATCCTTCAGAAATCATTCTAATATGCTGATTTGCTGCTCAAGAAACATTTCTGATTATTATCAGTGTTGTGTTGCTTCATATTTTTGTGGAGACAGTAATGCATTTTTTCAGGATTCTTAACCGCATTTTTTTTAATAGAAAACTTTTGTAACATTATACATGCCTTTACTGTCACTTCTGATCAATTTAATGCATCCTTGGTGAATAAAAGTATTAATTTCTTTAAAAAAAAAAACATCTCAAATTGACCAAAAAATGGCCCAATATCTCACTACATTTATCTTATCAATCTAGAATCATTTGAATTCAGATGCTGTTACAAATTCTGATGTCCATCTTACATCCAGGTATTTTTGTTATCGGGAAGAAAGAGGAAAAAAAGCACAACCTCAAACTACTTGATCTCCATTGACCCGACCGACCTCTCCAGAGGAGGGGAAAACTTCATTGGGAAGCTGAGGTAAGTGGGTTTGCTTACCATTGCCATTATAGCTGCTCCTCTCGGACAGGTCTATAACACAGTCTCTTTGATTTAAAGGATGTTTGCATGTATATTTCAGGTCAAATCTGATGGGAACTAAGTTCACGGTGTTTGATAATGCACTGCATCCGGACAGAGCTCTGCCAGACATGTCAAACGCGCGACAGGAATTAGCAGCTATTATCTATGTAAGGCAACATCCACTGTAACCACTGTAATTTTGGTTGAAACACTAAGCAGTTACTTAATGCATGTTATATTTGACTAACATTAATTTGCATTGTGGCTTTAGGAAACAAATGTTTTGGGCATGAAAGGACCAAGGCGAATGATTGTAATTATTCCTGGCATGACCAAAGACGGAGAACGAGTCCCCATACGACCACGTAGTGCAAGTTAAAAACAACTATTTATTTAATTTATTTATATATATATAATTATTTAATTTATTCAATTATAAATATTTGTATTTATTAATTTTCACTTATTTTATTTTATAATTTTTTTTTTTAAATTTATTATTTGTTAAAATGGCATCTGAATATACTGCTTCCCAACAGGAAAATGATGGCCTCCTCATTAGACATCAAAACAGAAATATGGAAAACGTGATAGAGCTGCGCAATAAGACGCCAGTGTGGAATGAAGAGACGGCGTCACACGTGTTAAACTTCAACGGCAGAGTCACACAGGCCTCCATCAAAAATTTCCAGATTGTGCATAACAAAGACCGTAAGTAACTCAACCATATCTCTGTAGAGCTGTTGATATTGCTCTAAAACAAAAGCTACTGTATGTTTGAAAAAGCATACTTGAATGCTACTTATTTTGCAGTATGCAGAACAAGTACAATTGCAAATGTAAAGAATACAACATATATTATTATCTGTGTTTTATAGTGTTTATAAATTGTCTTTTTTTTCAATTTTCATTTTAATTTTAATTGTTTTTTCCCCCATTTTTATTAATTAATTTTAATAAAGTTTTTAAATGTTTCTATTTAACATTTATTTATTACTTCAGCTTTAGTTTTAGTAATTTTAGTACTGCAATTGTATTCCTGTCAGTTGCAGAAGTATGTTTATTAAATCTAATATTTATATTTTTTCAACTCTATTTTAATCAATGACAACTTAAAAAAAACGATTTAAAATGTAACAGTTTTAGTTAACGATAACAGTGGTACTGAGCATGGTTCTAAAATCAACATGATCATTGGGCATATACTGGTAACTTGTACACTTTAAATGCTCTCGAAGTTGTTGAAAAAGTGTCTGCCAAATTTGTTAATATCCCACAACGCAATGCACTTGACTTCACTATCCATTTCCAGTGTAACAAAAGTACCAGAAATAATATTAACTGCTATTTTAATCTCTCTATTGATGAGTAACTGTCAAAAGTGAAGACATTTGTACACAAATGAATTAAAAATGCAAAATAATCATATTTGAAGATATTCCATACTGATACTTTGCGTACTGTTTCACTATTTGTATGTAATAGTACGAAGTGTGCAGTATACGCTGTGCAATATGCAGTGCCTATCAGCACTCTGAACAGTTTAATGTTGAAAAATGCATGCAAAATGTTAATCAGTGTTAGTATTGGTATGTCTGCTAAGCAAATAAAGCATTGCATGACCCTTTTTTGTGCTACATTTCAGAGGACTACATTGTGATGCAGTTTGGGAGAGTAGCAGACGATGCCTTCACTCTGGACTTCAGGTATCCTCTGTGTGCCGTACAAGCCTTTTCCATCGCTCTCTCCAGCTTTGATGGCAAAATCGCCTGCGAGTAAAAGCGTAAAGACGCCCTGCTGGTGTCTTTCTGTGATTTCGTCACACGCAGCAAATGGGAAACGTTCTCACTCAGCATCAGCTCAATTCACAACGAGACCGAAACCCATAAATCTGTAAAATAAAGCCACCATTGCTTGTGGGGTTGCATGATTTTACATGCCATAGAGAGATCTGCTGGTAATATCCGCTTGGGCTAAAATCAAGTAATGGTTGTAGAGTGGGTGAACTGAGAAGGGAGGAAGTGCATTGAGATGTTTGATTTGAGAGTTTGAAAAATGCAAATGGCCCCTGGTGGTGAGGAGGTCACATTAGACGTGATGTGTGTTTGAAAAGGGAAAAAGAAACGATGGATTGTTTTAGTTTTAGGTTATGCATACAATGCAATTAGGAAAAATGTCTGCTTCACATTTTAATAAATTGTTATCTTATACTATGAATAAAAAAAGCACTTTGTTTATAGGAATAGTTCACCCAGAGTTGAAAATTTGCTGAAAATGCTCACCTTCAGGCCATCCAAGATGTAGATGAGTTTCTTTCTTGGAGAAATATAGCATTCCATCACTTGCTCAGCAATGGATGCTCTGCAGTGAATGGGTGCCGTCAGAATGAGAGTCCAAACAGCTGATAAAAACATCACAATAATCCACACCACTCCAGTACATCAATTAACGTCTTGTGAAAAAAGCTGCGTGTTTGTAAGAAACAAATCCATCATTATGGCATTTTAAATTTACTTCTAGCAAAAAAAAAAAATACGAGTCCATAATCCATAATAACACCAGTGAAAAAGTCCATCTCCTGTTGTCCTCTCACATCAAAATCCATCAGCAAATTTGTTTAGAGCTGTTTTGGCTTGTAAACGGTGCTTGATCTCTGCATATTTCTCTTCGGATTCAAACGAGACGACTTTTTCACTAGAAATAGCAATATTGTGGATAGAGGACTCCTATTTTAGCCGGAAGCAATGGTTTGAATGGTTTGATGTTAATTGATGGATTGGATTACTTGTGGATTATTGTGATGTTTTTAATCATCTGTTTGGACTTTCATTCTGACGGCACCCATTCACTGCAGAGGAGCCATTGGTGAGCAAGTGATGTAATGCTACATTTCTCCAAATCTTTTCCCATTAAGAAACAAAATCATTCTGGCTGGCCTGAGGGTGAGTACATTTTTGAAAAATTTTATTTTTTGGGTGAACTATTCCTTTAAAAAAAAAAAAACATTTCTATGTATTTTTGGCAGTTGTGCTGTGTTTTGTGTGTGTAACCGTTAAGAATGCTAATCTGAGAGCAAGCAAGAAAGCGGTTGTCATCTCAGCCACTCATGCAGTTTCTTGCTTACTCAAGCAAAGCTGATCTGGAATAATAAGTGTCATTACAGGAATAACGTGAACAATCACCTGATGCAGATGTGAACACCTGACGTTTGGTGTTTAATTGTTTTGTTTTGCCTTGTATGTGTCATTGTAGTTTAGGATTATTTGTGTAACATGGGATGTATTTGATAAAAACCCATAACTGTCTTAATCCGTGCAGACAAAAGTAATTAGTCATGTTTTTCCATTTTTACTTAATGTGAATGTAAATGTAGGAAGGAAAATGCAATACTTTTAAATGAAATAAAAGTGTTTGTAAAAATGTGCTTCATTTAAGAGTTTCATTTCTGGGTGTTTTTGCTCTTGGCAGTTCAGGCTGCTACAGCTGAAATTAAAAGGCAAAAAAAAAAAAAAAAAGTCAACATGGAATAAAACTACATTCTTCTTGCACATTCCTGGTATTTTTGTCCATGTTTCATCTTTACATTTTTTTAATGCTTCTCTTTGACTCTGAAATAACCTTTTTTTTTTTACTTTATGCCACCAAAGCAGCTTTAACATTGAACATTGATGTCAACCAATAGCCAAATACCTATTTAGACAATGTTTTAGGCTTTAACATTTCGCTTAATTTTCATTTCATAAATGCCACAATAATAATGGAAAATTACAGTAGATTTGGAAGTTGTGAATGCTGATTTATAATGACTTTAAATGCCTTTCTAAATCTGGTAAGGTAAAAAAAAAATACAGATCTTGAAGATAAAGTCATTGCATGAGGCCAAATGAATGAACTGTACTCGTATGGCTTTAGTTTTAGTTGTGATATTACACTGGGGATCTCTCTTTAAACTTTCAGCCTCAGGCCAGACGATCTGTCACAGCCTGCTGGGTTGGTTGTCCAAACTTGTTGGTGTCAGAAAAGTTTACCACGCAGAGTTGCTGTGATAGTTTCAAATACTTCCTCATCTTGTCCCTGTAGCTTTTTGTAACCCTTGTAATATTTTAACTTTACTTTGCTAATCTTTACTCTGGACTGTGCTCGCGTGTTTCAGATGTGGCCTACAGAAGGAGCTCTACGCCTGTAGAGATGTATGTTAAAGGAGCATACATTATAATCTTAGGCTCCATTCCAGCATATTACATCACTGAGTTTGACTGTTGTGCTCCCTTGAGACGCTGGTTGTGGTGAAGAGGTTTCACTGTTCACACTCATCGCTCTGGAATGTTGAATGGATTCTATTAGAATTCCTGGACGATGAAGAGGATGATGATGATGGCCTTCTAAGGGTCTGAGAACCATGCAGTATTTGACCTGGTTAATCACTTGGTTTTACAGATGGTTTTAAATACAGTGATAAGTTCATTTAATGAGTTATATAGATGTTTTAAATTATTAATAACATAGAACATTAATATTATTGAAAAACACAGATTTTATTACTCATTCCAAGTTTTTTTTTATCTAAACAATTTTTAAACTACTTATTTTAATTAGCATATTTTACAAATTTTTAATTTAATTTAATTTTTAATTTTACAAATTTTTTACAAATTTTTTAAATTTTTCATTTAAATTGGCAGATTTGATTAATTATTCCACATTTTTGTCTAAATTTTTTAAAACTACACTAGTTTGTGTTTTCAGTTGAGTAGGCTATATAAGTATTTATTTTAAAAAGCATATTTCCATATTTTATTTTCCCATATTTAAATTAGTAATTGTGACCCTAAACTTTAAAATATACATTCAGAAATTCCAAAATAAGTATCTGTTATATCCACAAAAACAAAAGACTACTAATTAAAAGTTACTAATTAACTAAGCATTGTAAATGTTAGTCTAATTAGTTCTTTAATGGACGTTAATAACTGTGTGAATGTTTACAAATATATGCAGTAATAAACACCAAGACTTTTTGTGATGCGCAATTTAAGGAATGTGCTCTTCTTTTTTTTTGTATTTGTCAAGAATAATTTTGCCTGTCTCGTTAAATAAATAATCAGTACCAGATTACGTTCCAGATATTATCTAATCAACGATAAGTGTTCGTGAAAAACGCCATGACATTAATCTAAACTTGGTATTTATAACTCGATGTACAGTAGCTCAAGTAGCCTGCCCTACAGCTTTACTCTTTTCTTCTCTGCGGCCCAAAGTGGGCGGGCCTTTGGAGAAGTCCCCGCCCCCCAGCCGTGTTGATTGACGCGCAACGGTGGCCCCTCCTTAAACTTTTTTTCCCTCCTTCGTTTTCCACTGAAGTGCGTGAATTTCATACCAAGCCCATACTTCGCATTCCACCTTTACTGTCAAACCGGGAGAAATATTACTGAAAACAATAGAGCACCAAGATAAATATACCTTTAAAGAAATAAACCTCGTCCAGTTCTATCGGTAGAGGTGTTTCTCAATAAAGGTGAGTTTTAGATTCACTCGTTCCCTTTGTCTGGTCGCGTTTTTCATGCCGCTCTAGCGAAGTTTTCAGATCTTTGTCATATTTCGCATTTTTCCTCGGAACTCCCTGCGTTGGGTGGGATGAGGGACAGAATTCCGTGTGGATATGCTGTAGTTGTGCGTGTGTGAGAGCGAGGGAGCCGATTTTAGTGCGATAGCCCGGAACTTTTTGCCTTTGAATTAGACTTTTAAGTTAGATACATTATTGCAACTAACGCTTCCATTGTTGCGCGTAGAAGTTGAGTCGAAAATGTCATGCTCGTCTGCACAGGCTCTTATTTACTCTCATAGCATGATTTTGCAAACGCATGTGATAGAAAATGAAGAAAGGGGTTTTGTTGTTCCAGAGAGTTGCCAGAGAGAAACGACAGAAGTGTTTGGAGAGATCGTTCACCCCTTTTTCTACGTTATCAGGTAAGGGTGACTATGTTTGTTTCACTTGACAGGCTCAAGACGTTTATTAGATTTAATATTTACTGATTTCTGTGGGGTTATTAGTGACGTGAATTTAAGAGTATAGAAATACATTAAAGTTATGTTTTCCATTTATAAAACTTCTTCATTACGTGTGAAGGGAAAACAAATTACACTATTGGAAAAAGTTCAGTGTTGACTCAGTAACCTATATAAATAGCGTAAAAACATAATTTATTATAAAACTGCTTGATATGATAATTGATTTCTGTGGAAGCTTTTATAATTGCCTTCAGGCAATTTTCCATATTGTACCATCCAGACTGGTTTATCAAAACCGAATTCAGTATTTTTTATATTTTTGTATGGAATTTTATCTAAATGTCTGTATACTATTGATTATACTATAATTATTATTTTTGTGGCATTAAAACTATTTTGCCAATAAAAACTATCAGATTTCCTCAGGTAAAGTAATGACGTTGAGTGATCTTCCCGCCCAAACAGCCATCTTTCCTCAGATTGAGCATTTCCATATTAACCCTTCTATAGTTTAAAGATAATTTCGACCCTTTTTGGTGTCCTATCCGGGATTTGTGACACTGTCAGTAATATCTAAACAACAAAAAAAGCAGGTTACAGTTATGTGTAAAGTTGTTTTAGATAATTAAAAAAAAACAGTTTCTCATCATCTGTGATCGTTATGGCCAAATTTGTTGAAGAACCAATCATTGCCTTTCAACAAGTTGTACAGCTTTAAATAGTTTCTGTAAATCTATGAAATTTAAAAAAAGTTTTTCTTTTCCAACATCATACTTTGCAAGCAGATTAAATACATTGTCCTTGAGAGTCTTTAGACCCTCATGAATTTAATCATTTTTTAATGTGACACAAATTTGACTCACAGGAGGATGCAGTTTCTTAAGACAACAAGAGGGTTAATGAATCTTATCAAACATTTCCATCTCATCTGTGTATTAATTTCAGTTTTACAGGTTGTTGTTTTTTTCAGGGTGAGTGGGTGAGGCCGAAGTATTTTGAGTTTAGTCCTTCACATGAATATGTTAATTCGTTATTAGTTCACCCCACACATATGTAAGTGATTTTAACGATGCTCTCCACATTTTTATTGTTCCTCTGAGTTACTATTAATGGACAGGTTTCGTTAAACAGAAATGCTGCACTTCAGGTTGAACTTAGTCAGTTCAGCCCAAACTGCCTCTTCAAGTTCTGCTGCTTGATTAGGTTGTCTTATGTTTTTCCTCCTTTTAGAAAGGTTGGGCTTCTCAAAAAATGGTCGAAATATAGCTAGATATAGGTCAGGTTGTGTTTAGAAGTGATTGTTGTTTTGTGTAATTCTTTTTTATAATGTATTTTGTATATCCTTAAAGAGTCAGTACGTAGACCAGATGTTGTTTTGGTTTTAGTTTAGTCAACAGTGAAAGTAACTAAATTGTGCTCCAATTTATTAACTCCATTTTTTTGTTTACATTTTGATTAAAAGCCAAATCTCAGCCAAATCTTTTTCTTGCTCCTGAGTCCAAAACACGTTTGCATTTTTGTCTTCTGAAATTTATTGAGATGTTACCCCATTGTCTGATCAACAACAAATGAGACCCAACAAGAGATTTACACATCAGAGGTTTGGTTTCACATTACTGAATGTCACGGCTTCTTAATTAAGTTTGTTCCAGGAAGTTTAGTCTAGTTTAGCTTGTGGCATGCACTCCAGGCAACCTGTCATGGTATTTGCCACTTACGTGATATGCACAATTTACTGTAAGTCACGTGGTAAATATATATATATATATTCCTTGGGTAAATATGTAAGCTCAAGCTGTCTAGTTTTAGAGTTAGTTGTCCCTTATGCAATTTTCATTGATCAGTATTGATGAAGATCATATAATGTCATATAGTATTGATGAAGGCATATAATGCTGAAATTACACATAATACAATTTAAAGTTTGCAAAAGCACATTTCTGAAATTAAAAGATTTCCCAAGTATTGTTTCGCACAGAATTCTAAATCAGAACATGTTTTTTTCCATTGACGAGGTTTGCACTGGAACGGAGGTGATTTTCTATTCAGTTTATGCACAATTGTACGTTTTTCCCGATTGTTTTGCGGGCAACATGTTTTAAGCAAACATACTTTTTTTGAGGGTGAATTTAAACAGATGCCGTGCATTGCCTTTTATGGCTTCCGCGATGGGCCACATTTGTTGTTTAGCTGCAAATTTGCTGTTCTCATTTTGTTCAGACATCACAAACGAACCCTGAACTCCCTCTGCTGTCAGGCTTTGCCGAGCGAAGACACGTCATTTCAACGTCTGCTTTTTCTCTCCCGCTCTAAATAGAGCTTTACTGTTTAATAAGCTAACAAATCAGTTTTAATGATTTGTTTGTTCTTGTGCTGAGCTTTCAATCCAATCCCCAATCTGGTCCTGAAGTTTGCAACCATCTCCACGGCATTTCTAGCAGTTCTCGATGCAGAAAGTCCAGAGCGTATCCTCCTTAAGAGATCGAGAGTGTGTGATCGGAGCAGATTGTTTGTGCCATATGTGTGTATGTTGCTGGCCAGTTGACAGTTCCTTTAGCTGGTTTGTGTTAAGGGCCCAGCTGAGAGCGTAATGAGCCTCTTTCCATTTGTGCGGACTGAAGCGGCCTTTTAGCACCCGCCGCAGAAGTGGCTCTCCAAATGGTGACCACTTACCTGTCTGTCAACAGAGCTCTGAACAAATATCTAGCTGTGTGCGTTTTCAAGCCCCCCAAAAAAAAACAAACCCCCCCCCCCCAAAGCCATAAACCTAGGGGAAACACTGCTAGCTGTGTGTGTTTTCAAGCATTTGGGAGAAAGAGAACATCTTACGTGATGCGCTGCCGTTTGGCCTCCTCACCGCCCCATGTTTGCAGAAGGAATCATTTTACACGGTCTTCAGTTCCCCAAAATGTAATTTTTCCTTTTCAAATTAAAGTCCTTTTCCACGTCGTGGTCGAAGGAGCCTGCGGCGAGACGCGAGCCAAAGCACACACAATGTGTCGCTATGCTTTATTAATTATGATGGAGAGACGGCCCATGAAAGTGTGTTTACATTGCGCTGAAAATTAATGCCCACTCTCGGGACACTTGTTTACATACATTTCCTGCGCGAGGCATTGGCAGATAAGATTTTTTTGGCTTCTTCGTGGCTGTTTTCGACTTGAAGGAGGGGCGAGCTGTGGGCTAGAACAGTATAGCCTTTGTTTCTGTCTGTCTGAAGTTGCTAAACTTTCCAGTTGTTCTTGAAACCAACTGTTTGTGACAGCGCACCGGGGTTCATGTGGCAGTCAGCTACGCTCCGTGCAAACATGCACCTGAGTTGCATCTAATCTAATAATCTGAATTGAAAACGGAAGGCAAGTTTTGGCCTTCTGTCTAGTGGTTGCATTTATTTGTCATTCTTTATTAAGAAGCTCTTTCATGTGGTTTTTCCAAACCTGTATGACTTGTAGAGATATTTTGATAAATGAAACGACATGTTGGTGAATAAATGATTACCTAATTATAATTTTTGAGTGAAGTAGCCTATTGATTTTGATGTATAACTTGTCTCGCACCATTTGTGCTACGGAGATTGACGATGTCTCATATAATGCCGCATATTAAAGAAATGTGTGGTATTACTGTCAGGGAACGGACTTGCTGATTTTCACCTGGCATATGATGAAACGGATGAAAAATTCCCATAAATCTACCTTGAAGGAGGGACTCTTTGACTTGGACCAGTACATATCCACCTAGCAATTACCCAAAACACCCTAGCATTGCACTTTGCAAGAAACAGTTAGGCTACTTTTCTTTGTAAAATCTGTTATTGTTTTGATTATATTATCAAATGCATCTTCTCTAGTTTTGGATTTTTAAAAAACAAATGTTTAAAATGTAGATGCAACTAATTGATTTAGCTTTTTTGGTGATTTGTCTTTTATACTTTTGCCATATTTGATTTGGAAATCAAAGATAAGATGTTAAAAGATAAGTTTTAATCTAATCTTAATAATCAAGAATCAGATTGCAAATATAATTTCAGTCTTTAAAATTTCATGTTTATTTGCTGTTTCTTTGTAGTTAATTGAAATTCCTGAGTGAAAACTGTTTCTACACCAAATCTTTGTCGGTTTTTGAGCTTGAGAAGGTTGTATCTATGTCTTCCTCTGTTTTTGGCATAGAAGTGTGACTCAGAGATCAGCACATGGGGCCTCTTTCTCTCTGCTATCCCAAGAGTCCTGTGAGCATTCGTCTCTTTATGCATGTCTTTTCGGTTTTCGTGGGGTTTGGCTTGAGCCCCTGCCCTAAGCCACTAAATGACCAAGTCATGCAAGAGCACTCCTTCACAAATTCGCCTGACGATTTTCCGCGGAAAGTGCTGAATCAGACGTTCGAGCGAGTCCTCTGGCACACGCGGAGCTCTTTGTGTCAGTCTTTCCTCTGCTGACTGAATCAGGACTATAGTAAACCATATGGAGAGATCTGAGAGCAGACAGCCGTCCTGGAAAGTCACTCCGGTGGATAATGTTGAAAGTCAGGAATCAGAAGTTGAAACAGCAACATTACACACTAACTAACATTAAAAAAGTGAAATCGCAATCAACCACCCCTTTAATATCGCAGAGATTCATGTTTAGCTGTCTCATATGCATCAAGGGTTATTTCCACGAGGTGCTACTGTTCATGTAAAGAGTCATTTTAGTGCTCTTAGTTTAGTAAGAGCGTTTTATCCCTAAATTCACTCTCTGCCTTGGTAGTTTTACATTTTTTCTCATCTGTCGAGCAGCTCTCTATCACAGGCTCTTCAACAGCTCTGATTGTTTCCTGAGTGCCGAGCCAGAGAGGAAGTAAGAGGAAGTTATTGGAGGAGAAGGGTAGAATTTATTAGAGCTAAACACAGAGAGGGAAAGAAAGTGAGCGAGTGAATGAAAGTGATTGGGGAGTTGGAGAATGGTAGAAAGAGATAATAT